GGAAAGGCGGGGGGGTGGGGGTGATAAAAAAGCCAAGATACAGACATAAAATGGCTTTAAAACCAAAAAATTGGTAAAATAATAAGAGAGGGAGGCTAGAAGATGGGGAGAACCTATAGATTCAGGCTATTTGTTGATGAAGAAAGGAGATGGGGGAGGAAACTACCTTGAATTCTGGAATGAAAAATTTTAAAAAAACTCTCTAAATTCAGGCTATTTACTGATAGAGAAAGGAGAGGGCGGGGAAAGCTACTTTAAATTCAAACCCTTTTGGGTTGAAAAATGATGTTAAAAAACCCTATAAACTCAGCCTATTGATAAAAGGGGGGGAGCAAGACTATCTTGAATTCAAAGTATGCACTGAAAAACATAAAACCCTATAAATTAAAGCTATTTATTGATAGAGAAAGGGGTGGGGGGTGGGAAGAAGAGCCATCTTGAATTCAAAGCCTTATCTTATAAGATACAAGGATATGGGCTGCATATAAGGATATAGGCTATACCTTATATCTCCAAAATTGAAAGCCCCTATAAAATTCAAGCTATTTGTGGATAGAGAAAGGAACGGGGAAGGGAAACTACTTTGAATTCAAAGGCTTGTGTGTTGAAAAACAGAAGACTTCTAAGTATTATAGCCAGCTAAATAGCTAGATATAAAACTCTATAAAAACAGAAAAGCCCCATACACCCAGGCTCATTCACTTTTAGAGAGAAAGGAGGGGGAAACAGTACCTTGAATCCAAAGGCATTGGATTGAAAAATATATAGGTCTTTAAAAAATATACATTTCAGTCTATTTATTGATAGAGAAAGGAGGGGGTGGGGAGGGGAAAGAAACCTTGAATTCAAAGCCTTGAGTTTAAAAAAAAAATATGTGTACACACACACACACACACACACACACACACGGAGGGAGCTATTGGCAGGATTCACTCTCTCAAGGACTGGCATCTGGTGTAGGACTGGAAACGCACAGAATCAAGTCATTTGGGGGGAAAACTGGCAGTAAAAAAAAAAAAGAGGCAGGCTTCAATCTCTTGAGAGTGGGCACCTGGAATAGGGTTGGGGAGTTAGAAAAGAGAAACAGAGAATCAGCTCATTTTGGGAGGAGAGGGAAGGAAGCAGCATTGTCTGTAGCCATCTCCAGCTCAAAATAACCCCCACCACTCCCCAGCCTGACTCTTGGGGTCTTTATAAGGGAATCCAGCTCCAAAAAAAGCAAAAAAAAATGCAAAAAAAAGTCAAACTCCTATTTGAAAGGCAAGTAAGAAGTGGGAGAGAAAAGCCCTGATTCAGGCAAGAATGAGGCAGCTCCCAGCACTTTCCGGCCACAAAGATGATCTGGACCCGCCCAGGACATCTGCAATTGCATTTTAAAAGCCAGAGCCAGAAAGGAAGGGGGAGGGGAAATAATCCCAGAGGCCTCCGGCTGGGGATGACCGCATTCACCAAGATGTCTGGCTGGCTCACCACCTCTGCCTCCTTCCCCCAACAGCAGCCATTAGAGAGAGGCACAAAGAAAGCAGTCTCAGCCCTTGAGATCCCCTAGTCACTGGAAAGGGAAAGGAGGGGATCTGATCTAGCTGGGGAGATCCTGGCACCAGGGGAGCTGCACCCACTACATCCCCTTATAACTAGAGGGTGGAATCGTTCTTGATCTGGGCACTGCAAGCTGGGGGAGGGAAGCAAACCAAATCTCAGACCTGGTCCCCAAACAGATCCCATTGAAAGGATCCAGCCCTGAGCAAGGAGATCCCTGCAGAGCCCAGCCCAGGGGAGAGGGGAGCCACCCACTTACCAGATCCCCCTTATACCTAGGAGGTGGAGAAGGGGAATGGATCCCAAATGTGGGTACTGGGAGACTGGGGCAGAGCTGTGGTATCAACCCGAGTCCCTTGAATGGGTAAAGACTCCAGCTCACAGATCCCTGCAGACTCTGGCCCAAGGGGGGGGGGCTAGATCCCCTTATAACTAGGAGGTGGAGAGGAGCAGATTCCCCTCTGGGTGCTGGGAGACAGGTGGAAATAGTCAGTCCAAGCTCGGGGACCAGCCAGATCCCATTGAAAGGGGAAAGGATCCAGCTGGGAGACCCCTGCAGGTGGAGGGGGAGGGAACCCGCCTTTGCAGCCATGTGCTTGTGCAGACAAAAGAGGGTGGGGGGAAGCAGCAAATCCTTGGCGGCAGGGAGTGCCAGAGGCTGGGGGCTGCCCCCACCCGGGATCCACCAGGAGCAGAGATACCCCCCCCCCCAACACCTTTTTTGGCAACTTGGTTTCCAAGCCGCGTCCTCCCGCGGCTACAGTGTGACAGGTCCGCACCCCGGACACTATGTAGCAAACTCGGATCGAGCAGAACGACCCTGCAGGGCGGGGGGGAGGGGAAGGCAGGTACCGGGGAGCAGCCCACCGCCCCTTTTAATGCGGATTAAGGCGGCCCCGGAGGGAGGCAGAGCCGAGTCACGGGGCTGAGGCCAGGGCCAAGTTCACGGGGGGGGGCGGGGGGAAATCCACCAGCGAGACGGGGCGGACCGGACACAACGAGGACGGCCTGAAACTGAACAGCCCAGAAAACAAGAGGGGCTGAAATTGACCACTCCCGCGCCCCCACAAAGGGGGAGGGGCTGAAACTGATCGGGTCCAAAACGAACGTGGGGGAAGGAGACTGAAATTGACCCCCCCACTCCCCGCAAAAAAGGGGGTGGGGCTGAAATGGACCAGGTTTCTAGTACCACCCAGGAGCGGGCCC